ACGAGTTATGCCAAGATTTCTCTCACAAACAGTATCACCTATATGATACCACACACTTAAGAGCTTAACTCTTAATAATACTCACCTACACTAAGCTCTTAGTGACTAAGTTCCAGTGTGATTTACTGGTTACAGATATTAACCCTGTGGAGTAATACCTGCTAATCATTTCATAATGGTATTTTTGCTGTAGTTTTTATTTCCCCTGTAATTTGTGATTCTAAATACAAGTTGAATGAAGCAACCTCATAGTGCAATGTTAAGTATCAGTAGAGTTTTATATGTATATAAAAAATAAAAAATAATCCACTGCATAAACAACCAAGGATGTAAGGTAACTGTTGTGGGTATTGTGCTTCCCTTTCCTCCCTTTCCCCCTTATGTTTTGTTAAGTGACAGGAATGAACATTCATAGCAAACAAGCTACCCTGTAACCTCTCATTTTCAATTAATTCTGAAAAATGACAGACTTGTAATTCTGATAGCAGGTAGGTGGCTTTGATGAAAGTTATTAGCAGAGAATCAAATCCTGTGGCTTTGCAGACTCATCCTTATGTAAACTCATCCCTGCCATGAAGTTCAGTCTGTAACACATTGTTCCCTTTAGACATGCCTAAGTGAGTGTTTCACCTTTTGGAAAAAGTTTTCCTTACATCCCTGTAATTATCTAACTCTTCTGTGTAAATATAGCTCTATATAGGAAATAATTTGTAAAAAGATAAATTATGCTATTTTCAAAATACTCCGAGATACGAAGTTGTGCATGTGCAAAGTCTGATAGTATATCGCTATAAAAACTAAGAATTAGTGTTATCTGAGTATATATTCTTTAAGCTAGGTGTATAGATTTAATATTGTGGGGAGTTTCTTTTTGCTTTTTATATATTTCATATATAGCATCACATACTTTCTTCAACTATCTCCACGTTTCCATCAAATCCCTTCGATTGTTTTTTTTTCCTTTTCAATTTCTGATCCCGCAGAGGTACAGTAACTGATCATACATTCATGCTTGTCACTAGTGTACTTCCATAACTCTGGTAGATTGAAAAACAACTTTTCATTTCCACCTAAACACAGTCATTTCTTCTAAGTGAAATAGCAAGAGACTATTGGTAAAAACCTTTCCCCTACTGAAATGGATGGAACCAACTTCTCGGCTTCTAAGCACTCTGCTCTTTTAGTCTTACAGCATCATGGAGCAAAGCCCCAAACAAACTATACATGTATGCACGGTTACTGAGGCTGTTAGTATTCATGGAGCATAGCAAGGAAACCGAAATCAAATGTCCTCATTGGTATTTCTAAATTTGCATGCAAAAATACTCACAGTGCTGTAAAATACTTAGAAAGAAGAAAAACAGAAATGTTTGGGTTTTGTCTACTCTCCACGCATTCCTCTGACCCAACTATAAGAAAGCCAGCTGACCAGCTTGCTTCTACTACGCATACTCTTTTCCTGCCAGTCTCTTACACCAGCTGGCAGCATCTCTAACTTAATAAACACCAGTGATTTGGCCTAAAACAGAGCATGTTGCAGCCTGTGTCATTGACCTTGTTCACTCTGCATTCCAAAACAATGCAATAGTTACCACTGCAGAGAAAAGGATGGAAGAAACTGAATCCCTACTATCGCCTGTGTAGCAGAAACCAGTTACTCGCCCAAGTAAAACCATGTGTATCTGGAAGGAGAAAGAAGGCTCAGATTGATTATGTCGTTTGGTCTATCTGCAGGACAGCTGCTTGGGTCGTTTCTTCATCAGATTGTTCCATTTCTGCACCGACTGGGTTGTTTCTTTCATCGTAGAGTTTCTGGCTAGAAACTTGTAGAGGCACCCCATACTCTTCATCATCTTCAACAATGGACAGCTCGATGTTGTTGTTCATCATGGCATTCCCTTCCATTCTTGCTTCCTTCTCTAGAGAATCGGCTACTGCTTTGCCCTCCTCAGTCAGTGAGGTGGTAGGGGTCATATCTGAGTGCATGCTGGCGAATGACACTTCATCCTCATTCTCACCTTGGTCATTGCTTGCAGTTTCTGTTGGTCTGTCCTCAGCTTCAGCGGGGCTTTCTCCTTCACGGACTTTCTTCACGTTGAACATGAGGGGTGATACTTTGAAACCTGAACTCTTTGAAGAAGAGGACTTTTGATGATGTACAGTAAGCGATTTCTTGATCTTTTCTCTCCGTTCAGGGGAGACGATCTTTGTGCTGATCTTGTTCATCTTCTTCTCAATGTTTTGGCGAGAAAATGCTTTCTTGAGGCTGTCTACCTTCTTAAGGCTGGATCTTTTAAGTTTCTCAGCTCTTGATTCTTCTGTTTTCTCCTCTGCACTGTCATCCAAATCATCTTCTTCGTGAAACATTTCATCATCCGAGTGCAACTCCACTGTTTGCAAGGTTTCTTCCAGTGTTTTGTTCTCATCCACAGGTTCTTCTTTTCCTTCTGTAATGCTGGGAACAGGCTCTTTTGCAAAAACACTGGCAGGGATCTCATTTTCCTCCTGAAAGAATTGACAATATTTGAGTTTCATAGTTCACAGGACACTAAATTAATAAACAAAGCACAACCCTCAACAATTACCCCACACACCCTAATGAGATGAAGACTGCTGAACATTTCTTCTTGTCTCAGTATATTTAACTGGTAACAAACCACTCAAAGCCCACTGAACCATTATCTCGTAAAGTTAAAGACTAATGAACGCTGAGCTGTGAGATTTCTCTTTCAGAGCGAGTTGGAATGTGTACAGAATGGGAATCCTGTTCCTTGTCATTTAAGTTAGATACTCTTTAATACAAGTTCAGATGTAAAGTTTGTTCACCCATCCCTGGGGAAGAGGAAGACGTGGCTAAGGAGATTGTACTGCAGACTCTACATAGACCTACAGAAGTCATGTAACCCCACAGGTTTCACCTTCTTTAGCCAAGGACTGGCACTATCTCTGCAGAGATGTTAGTTGCATCTAACAGGTACCTTAGATGGCAAATGCAGTTAGCACTTTCATTGTGTTACAGCAGAATGTATGTTGCTGTTAAAAACATATTGTTGATACTGAGAAGCCGTGCAGTCCATGATGTTTAGAGTATTTGCCATTTTACGGCTATTTACGGGAAAAAAAGTTAATAAATCTGGTTGGTAAATATTAAAAATATGGACAGAACTCCTTGAAAAAGATGTTTATGGCACACAAAATAAACAGATATTATACTACATAGGAAACACTAGTCACTTCTAGCTAGCACGAAAGTGTTTGCTGTTTAGAAACAAAACCAAGAGAGGGCATGGAAAGAGAGAAGATGTCTGAAAACAAACCAGGCTGAATGAGGGCAGAAGCTGCAACTCTTAATGAAGGACCTCTGTGGCTGAAGCTCTGCAACCCTGAGCAGTTCAGAGGCAGCACAATGAACACACTGTTCTGTGGTAGGATTTGCAGACATCTGCCCTGCAAAGAAAATGAGACTCCTTGCATGCTCCCTTTTCCTCTTGGAATTGTTGTGCCTTAGGTCTGCATAGTCTCCATTCATTATCTTTTTTATCACTCTCAGAGTGCATGCAGTATCACTTAGCTGCATGGATTGGAAGGATTTTCTCACCTCCCCCCTTCCCATTTATCTTTAGATACGAAAAACAGTAAGTTCTGAGTGAAATGGTTGTAATAGTCTCACATCTGTCCCTAGTGGCCCTGAGTGTACAGTTAAGGGGAAGAAAGGCCACATACACTTCGTAGCTCATGCTCATTATTTCAGGACTGAGCATGCAGTTGTGATCACTGGAGAGAACAGTGTCTTGGGTTAAATTTGCTGTTGACACTCTGTAAGAATGCTTTTAGAAACAAAATAGTCCTGGCTTCTGGAACTCAAGAATATGCATGTGGCCAGGCAGAATCATTTTATACCATACATACACAGTATATAATCATATATACTGTGATTTAAGTGTGTTGACGAGTATCTCTTGTAAAACAAAAAGTATGGATGGCAATTTGGCAGTTTTACAGTTCGTATGTGCTTTACTTCTATGGTTTCTACACAGCTTCCTGGACCAGCAGCCTCAGCCACAGTCACTGGCACAGACAAAGCTTTTCCAAGCCCTTTGCCTCCAGTGGAACATCTAATAGAGCCATCCCTCCTCTCCCAACACCTGTAACATTATTGCAACTATCAGTGACAATGACCAAGGTAACAAAACAAAGGAAACCTGCACAAGCTTTAAGTGAAAGCAGCAGTAGCTGCAGTACAAATATTTATATTTTCTCTCCACTGCAGTTAATGAAATATGGATTACATGAGTGGGTGCAGTGTAAAATTATTCCCCAGAGCATGACAACTCAGCATGAAGCATAATTTACGTGTCTTGTGCATTCTTTCCAAACCTAGGTAATCACATAGTTTTAAACAGCTGAACATTCAGGTGTAAGTGTCTGAATGGCATAGAGAACTCCGATTTTAATGACTAAAGATGAATTGTAGCTTTTAAAGTATTTAATCTAGGAAAGTGGTGTTGTATGAGATGGATCACAGTACAGCCTAAGCCAGAGATGGACCTGTGTGGCTCTTCTCAAGGTCAGTTTAGCTCTGTGTCTGCAGTATTCACATTAAACCAAAGTACTGCATGCAGTCTCTAGAAGAATATGGACATAGATCTTATTTCTTTTTTTATCAAATTTGTGGCTGAGTAGAAGGGAGACTGTCAAGTGATCCGTATTTATAGAGAAAAAAAAAATGAAGGTATACTACATAATGAGCTAATGATTCAATTAAAAGCAGTTTCTAGGTAGTCTTTAGCTATCAGTCAGTCAAGAAATCACTTCTCTAAGCCTCCTGCATGGCTCTGGAAAACATAAGTCTCTGGGCATCTCTTGTAAAATGTGAATGACATGCTCTCCTGTCTCACATTTCTAAGAGACCTTAGGATCACAGGTACTATTAAAATGCAAATGAAAATAAATTAAGTGTTTTGGAAATACAAAGGTGGTATGGTAGGAGTGCTCTAATGGCACAGACATTTCTATTTCAAATGTGGTTACTGATAACATATTCTAAGTGGGATATTGGTAACTTTTTGGTCTAACAAGTTTATATGACAGCTATGTTTTGTTTTGATGCATTTTTCAAGCAGTCTGGTATCTCATTTAGGAAGGCTAGAACAATACACTGAAAAATGCCAGCTGTTACAAACTGCATAACTATTTTCTGTGCCAAAAAAGTAGAACTTTGATCTTTTCTTCTTGATCTAACCTAAAATTCTGAGAAAGCATTACATCTTTTTATTTTCCACATCCGAGTTCAAAAACAGCACTTGCATTTTCTCACATCAGCTTGACTGTAGGTAGCTACCTCCTCTGAATTTAATTTTTCCATGTAGGAGACAAATAGAATGGTTCAATTCTTTGTGTAAAACAAGTCTTGCTAATACTAGTAATACCAGCACAGTTAAAATCAGTGCCTTCCCTGTGGCTTTGATCAGCCGTTCTCTGGAGCTTTCTATAGGTCATAATCTTATCCCTATCTTTTACCAGGGGAGAAGATAAGATCCATAATGGTGTACTATAAAACTGATTGAGCAGGTAGTTAATTTATTCAGGAGGGCTGCATTTCTGATGCTACATAAGGGCAATTGGTGTGCTTTGGTTTCGATTTTTGTTGGATTTGTTGTGAGAGGCCATGGCCTTCAAAAAAACAAGATGGCATTTCCCAATGCTTACAGTGGTCTAGGCGCCTCTGCACTTTGTAGATGCTGTTATATGCCTACATAATTGCCAGTCTAAAAGTTGTTTTGCTACACAAAATAGCTAAAAAGATGACAAATCCTTCTAAAAACAGCAATACTTCCACCTACTTTCCTTTGGACAGGCTTTTCAAACCTGGATGTCACCACAGGAAGGGATGAGGGCAGGGAGCAGGCTGGGGCTGTGGTCAAGGAGGGGGAACTTGCTAGGTGCCTATTTGCACATCCTGTACAGGCTGAGCAGGGGTTGCACTTTCCCCTTGACCTCCTGCAGCACAACTGAATTGAGTCCTAAGAGCCGTACAAGGTATTTTTGTCATTAATCAATATAAGAATACTCTCCCTGCAAGGCCCCAGTGGGACATTTAGCAGTGAGATGATAGCATTACCAGCCTATAATTCTTCTGCTTCCCTCACTTGTGCATTTCTGAGTTTGAAGTTGCTTATTTGAAAGATTATTACCGTGACCCAAACAACAAGATACAATCAAGTAGCTGCTTTTCTGTGCCCTTCTCCTGCTTCCTTTCAGTTTGAAGCATTTACCACGAGCAGCATCTGAAAGGGACTCAAGTATCAGTGTACTTGACCCCATGCTATAATTTTGACTTATTTAATCTGTCCTATTTATCAGTAAATATGAGATTTTAATTTTCAAATTAAACATGAGCCTTTTTTATCTTGTGTTTTGCTTTTGCAGCTAAAAAAAAAGGCAAATAAAGCCCCCACCAAACCAGAACCAAAAGCTGGTCACATGGCAGGAACAAAATAGAGGGGAACAATGCCAAAGCTTAACAAGGATTTTTAAAACAGTCACTTCAGTGTTTTGCTGAATCGCTGTGTCACTTGTGGCATCTGTAATAACTTTTGCATCCCCAAATGCTGGGAATGGAGCACCCTTAAAATATGTCACCAATTAAATAAATCTATGCAAAATAGGAACAATACAGACAGTTTAGGGGAGAGAAAACTAAGTGCATTTTAATGGCAAATATGTAAATAGGTGACCTTTTCTCAATGCAGTTCATTCTCAGTGTGTACGCTGAGGGAAAGCTGATGTTGGCGAGCAGCAACATAGCTTCATAAAACGCAGAGCTGGAGCTCAGTCATGTGTTTTGGCTATGCTCAGTGCCCCCACCAAGAATCAGAGAGTATGAGGTAGATGATAAACGCAGAACTGAATCACAAACGTGCATTTTTGTTTTCATGCCAAGCTGTCTTCCTAAACTGGAAAAATGGGTTCTAATGAGAAAAATGCAGTGTGAAGTTTGGGATTGGTTTGGGGATTTTTTTTCAGTGGAAAAGAAGAACCCCCCCAGCTGAAGTCTCCTACATCCAGATTTCCCTTTTGTTTTTACAGAAATCTGGCATCAGTACGGCTTCATTGTTGAGACGTCTCCTTCCTGCAATTGTTTTTCCATGGATTCCTGCTCAGGGCAGGAGAGAAACCCAGCCAGCCTTCTGCTTTTCCCTCTGTATCCTAGTTATCCTAGCAAGGCAGTAGCCCTGTTTGCTACTAGGTCATCCCACCTCCAGCTTGTAAGAGACCCCACAGGGCGATGCCATGGAGGTGGGCACACAGGTAAGGTGCAGCCTGTGCTGGCAGCAGACGTGTGGGCATGGCCTGGCAAGCACCCACCATCCCTCCAGGTGTGGCTGCTTCCCCAGTGGAAAATCCCAGCTCCTCCCATGCCCTGGGAAGCTCTTTTGGCCACCCAGCTTTTCCAGCCAGCAGCAGGGCAGTGCCAGGAGCAATTCCCAGTTGACAGCTGATCTTTTAACTGAATTTAACTGCAGTGTTTCTTTTCCAAGGCTTATGTTCCTGATCTCCATCAGTTTGGGATTGGTTATGCTCATCTCTGCACAGCATGGCAATGTATTTTCCAATATAGACAGGAACAAAGTCAACTAAATCCTTGTAAAAGCAATGAAGGACCTGCTGTCCGAAGGTACCAGCCTAGTGATTGGTGGTGGAGCAGCAGTGGATTTTCTTTAGCTGTTGTTCTGAGACACAGACCTGTGTCGTTTGCTTTGGGTTTGTGAAGTTATGACTCAGTATTTAGGACTCCAAGGAAAGGCTTGGAGGTTTAAATAAGCCTTAGCTTTTCAATACTGTTCAGTGTCAGGAAGCAAGCAAAGCCAGCCCTCCCCTGTCAGGACACTGCTTGCTTTACCCTCCAAACTCTTCTTGGTGAGCTTTACTGTAACTTCACCCAGTGCCTGTGAATTACTGCCACTAGGCAGCAGCAATGGGGATCCCTAACAGAGGTAACAAGACCTGTACTGCACACACACAGCTGTGTTTTTAGCTTCATGCTCCACATTATGTCATTTTAAAAGGCTCAAATATTAGTTCTGTGGAGGAAGACGCTGTAGTTGCTATGGCAAGGCCTTAATTCTCATGCTTGGAGGTAGCATAAATGCAATAGAATTGCCTTCCCCCAGGCCACACTGATGCACCCTCCCCGTGGGAAGTGTTCAGGGTCTAGGTCTAGAACCTGGAGGTGGGAGCCAGCTAGCAGGGCCTGGGAGATGGCAGTATCTGGCTTACAGTAATGGATCATACGGTCCTTGCAGAAGTACAGGGAACATGTGTCTTTTAGTTTACCAGTTCCTGGAATCATTTCTACATTCCTTCTGGGATGGAAACTACCACGCTCGGTACATGCCACAGCTCCTCCTCTTCTGGCTTGGCAAGCCAGGACTGCAGTTTGGGAGAACAATAAGCAAGAGGTGGGGGCTTCCTTTCTGAGGGAAGCACCTCTGCACTAACCAGGCCTGCCAGCTTTGAAAATCAGGCACTGCTCTGTTGTTTTGGGGTTGTTTAAATAGACATAACACGCAACAACACAAAGAGGGGAGTTAGTGACTGACACATGTAACACCCAGCCAACAAGTTTAGTGTTATGAGGTGGTGACATGCCTGAGCTGGGGCTATTCCAGCCCTGCATTTCCTTTCCTTTCTTCCCTCAGGGTGTTGTGGAGGTATGGCTTCTCCTTTTCTCTTTGTCAAAGATGTGAAAGTCGCGTCCTGTTTAGTTAAAGCTCACGCCATGTTCTGTCCAGGCCATTCCTTAAAAAGGGGAAAATATGCAAACTGCTGCTATCGCTGGGTGGAATCCCAGGAAGCTGAGTTTTTAGCTGGATTTTTAGCTCATCCCTGAATGGGCTGCAACAGCTTGAGGAAGAAAGCAGGATGTGAGGCTGAGCGTGACAGGGAGCTGCAGCACTTCCCCTCTCCTCATCCAGAGGGCAGATGCAGTGGCAGTTTTTAGGGGCACTGGTAAAAGTTATGTGCTCTTGTCTCAAGTTTGCTAATTAAAAGGAAAACAAAGCCCTTTCTTAAAGTTTACTTAAAAACTCCAAACCCCACGACAAAACAGTTCCTTCCCACATATGCTAAGAGTTAGTAAAAGATGGCTCTTTCCCCGGATTTGTTGAGAATAAAAGGTGGCGCTTTTCCCAAGTTTACTACAAGTTAGCAAAACAAGATCTCTTTCCTCAGGTCCAATAGCAGATAGTAGAAGACAGCTCTTTCTCCAAGTTTGCCAAGAGTTAAAAGGCTCTTTCACAAAGTTTGCAAAAAGTTAACTAAGAAAGAGCTTTCCCTCCCCAAACTCCCCAAGAGTTAGCAAAAAAGACAGTTCCTTCCCCAGGTTCACTAGGAGTTAGCAAAACAGGCTTTCCCCCTGAGTTTGCTAAGAGTAAAAGTGGGTGTTTCGCCTAAACTTGCTGAGAATTAAAGCGGACTCTCCCAAAGTTTGCCAAGATTAAAAGGACTTTTCCGAAGTTAGGAAGAAGACGGCTCTTTTGCCGAGTTTAAGAGTTAGTAAGAAGTCAGCTCTTTCCCCAGGTTTGGCCAGAATGAAAAGCAACTCTTTCCTCTTTCCCTAAGCGTGCTAGGAGTTAGCAGCAGTGGTCTTTTCCAGTGTGGCCGGGGGGCAGTGTCTCACCTGGAAGATGAGCACCTTGAAGCGGTCCCGCCGGAGGAGCTGTGCGTGATGCTGCTCCAGGCGCCGCACCTGGTCGCACTGCCTCTCCAGCCGCTCCCGCACGGCGCGGGTATGAGCGCACACCTTCCGCGACTTCTCCAGCAGCTTCTCCACCGCTTCCCCTGTCGCCCCGTGGCTGCGGCACAGTTTCCCCAGGTCCCCCTGAATACCCCGCACCGCCCCTTCCAAACCCCGCTGCCTCTGCTCCATCTGCCGCTGCTGCCCTTCCACCGCTTCCAGCATCGACACCAGCTTCTCCAGCAAGGCCAGCACGGTCAGGGCATTCACTTGCCCCCCGACCGCCTCCGACGGCGGTAGCGGAGGCACCGCGCTGCCTCCCGCTGCTTCCCCCATCTTCGCGCCGGGATGGGACGGCCGAAACCGCTGCCGCTCTTAAGGGCTGCGCCTTCCCCTCCCTAGGGGAGGTTTCGGGCAGAGCCCGGCCCCGATCCCGGCCCGCCCCGAGCGGTCTCCGGGATCGGGGCCGGGCTCCCGGTGCCTCCCAGCATCCCGTCCCCCCCCGTGTATTTGAACAGCAAAGGGGGGGATTCTAGCCCCACACTTGGCAAAATGCTGTCTTCTCCTTCTCGCAAGCATCAGTAGATGGCAGGAGATACCGCGGAATGTGGTTGTGGGAGGAGGAGTTGAGATTCGTGGTGCTGATGGTCCGGGGGAGTTCTTGGAAATTTAAAGCCTGTCTCGTTGAATCGGAAGGAGTTTAATAATAATGAAAATTAAAAAAAAATAAGTAGTTACTATATAAAACATAGCGATTATGATAATAAATTAACATTAACGGGCCAAAGCATGCTAATATATTAACATAATATTACCATAGTTGTGGTTATAAAATATTAATATAATTTTAGGCATATATACTTTCAGTACTTAAAAGGGGCTTATAAGAAAGATGGGGAGAGGGCATGTTGTAATAGGATGGGGGTGATGGGTTTAAACTGAAAGAGGGGAGATTCAGGCTGGATGTGAGGAAGAAATTCTTTACAATCAGGGTGGTAAAATCCTGGCACAAGCTGCTCAGAGAGGTGGTGGATGCACCATCCTGGAGACATTCAAGCCAGGCTGGATGTGGTTCTGGACAACCTGGCCTAGTTGGAGATATCCCTGCTCATTGCAGGGGGGTTGGACTGGATAAGGTTTGAAGGTCCCTTCCAATCCAAACTGTTCTATGATTCTATAATGATTGTAATAATAATTTGCACACTTATATTCGCATGTGGTGAAACAAATCTCCAGGCACTCCTTTCACCAAGTAAGAACCCCATGCAACACCAGACTCCTCCTCCTTATTATTATTACTATTACTATTTCAGATTAGAACTATTCTATTCTTATTATAATAAAAAAAAACAGCAAACAACAAACCCAACAAACAACAAACCCCAAAGCCCAGTCTGGTGTTGCATGGAGTGCTTGTTTTTTGGATGGAGTGCCAGGAGATTTTCACTGCCCTTGGCGTGGAGTTCAGCTAGGCACTCTGGTTGCCCAGACTGGATTCTCTAGCTCATTCAGTTCAACCCCCTGCCATGGGCAGGGGCACCTTCCACTAGACCAGGTTGCTCCAAGCCCTGTACAACCTGGCCTTGAGCACTGCCAGGGATGGGGCAGCTGCAGCTTCTCTTCTTTGGTGAAAAATCATAGGGTCAGAACAGCTGTTTTGTGGAAATAGGGATGAACTGGGTGTGGCAGCGGAGGGACAGTGTTCTCAGGCTATTACAAAGCTTGGCATGAAGAAATGACAAGCTGTTCATTTAGAATAATACATAACTGTTCCCAGGTCTGATCCAGAGCTGTTACCATCCTGGAAAATATTACAGAGTTTCGCAGACTTGGGTTGCTCATCTGTGTACTGACATTCCCAAACCCAGCCAGTTTCTTTTTATCTTCTGTTCTTGATGTTTGCCTGGTAACAGGATTTTTTGCTGAAACACAGATGTTTCTAATACATGAGTGTATAGAATTCTAATGCTTGGGTAGCTGAAATATATTATTTCCTAATGTTTGGGTATATATAATTCCTCCATGGTTTTCCTGAAATCCTGTAGATTAAAAGCATCTATTTGGAGTCCAAATAGCTGTGATCCTCACCCCTTTTTTTTTTGTACAAAGTCATTTAATCATTTTACCATGAAAAGGAATAAAAATTAATGGCTGAAAAACAATGCAGATGTGTTACCCATGCCAAGCTCTGCATTTTTGAGCCCCTGAATGTTCTGCAATATTACCGTTTTTGGTCCTTGGATTTTTGTCAGGCTACAATTTCTATTCCTCAAGTTGTAGGAGCTTGTAAAATGCATTTGGTGAGTGCGTTCACTTAGGAAAAGAACAAAAATCATTGAGTCTGCCAGAGTTGTCAGCAAGGAAAGTATGCCAAGACTGTGAAATATGCAGGCTCAGAAAGGAGTGGACGTATTTTAAAGGAGCAAACTAAACAAACCCCTTCTGTTTCCAAGGGCTCTCCCCAGCAGCACTACCTGACACGCCCTTCCTATGACATTCCTGTTTCCAGAGGGCTGCCGGTGTCCGCCGCTCTTGGTATCTTGCTTCCTTGTTCTCTCCCTTGGTTTTGGCTGGGACCTTGCAACCCGGGCAAGGAGTTTAAAGCAGTCACAGTTTATAGCAGAAGCAGCTCATGCTGCTGTGTGTGTATGTGAGATGCTGGCCTTGGCCATGGTGATGCAGGGGAGAGATCAATTTGTTCCACATTAATTTTTCTTCAGGTTTGAGGAGCTGTGGCAAAACCCTGGCCTGGCCATGGTCCCGGCTGCTGGACGAGCTGGCTGTCCATCCCATCTCTAGTTTGCACTTTGGAGCCTGTCTCCCCGAGCCTTTCCGCATCAGTGTATACATGGCACATATGCATAAAGGAGGAGATAGGTAAGCTGTGTTTTTAATCTAAGTGAACACTCTCCTGACTCCTGTTATGAGCCTTCTCCAAAGGTTCTGCAAGTCTGGAGTGTTTAAAACTCCCAGCCCTGTGCATCCTAGGGAAACCTGGACTACCCCATGGCAGCCAGCACAAAATCCAAAGTACAGTTTCCCTGTTAGTCCCCTCACCTGGCAAAGCCAAGGCAGGAACAGCAGTGTTGATGTGGCTGCAAGGCCCATCAGCACCCACTGCAGAGGTTTCTTTGGGATCCCAAAGGCTCAGAAGGTGCATGTTGTCCCTATGCTCCCTCTGTGACTGGGGTTATAGCTCGGAGGCAATGCCATAGGGAAAGGAGCACAGATGAAACCAGGAATAAGATGGCCCCAAACTGGTACCTCTCCCAACCCACTGCTAAATTCCAGCTGTGGATTTTGACACCAGCTGTCAGCTCTGATTACCTGTCCTGTTTGTAACAATCATGTAATGCTGGTGGAGCCGCAAGCGCTTGGAGAAATCCGAGACCTTTTATGCAGGTTTGGCTGTTATTTACTTCTATTCATTAGTTCGGCAGGGTATCAGAGGAGTGTTTTTGCCAAGTTCAGTGCTGGTTTTACCAGTGAGAAACTTTCTAAAGGAAAACATTTTACGTTTATTTAGAAAGAAGCAGCATTAGAGAGATTAGCTTTATCATGGTCATCCGATATAAGTCAAGAGTTCTTTTCATGTAAAATTAATGTGCGTGAATTATATGGACAGAAATTGAAGGTTAAC